TGGCTCACGTGATTATGGAGGGTGACAAGTAAAAAATCTGCAGGGTGGGCTGGTGGGCTAGAGACCCAGGAGACTTGATGTTCTTTTGAGGCCAAAGGCTGTCTGCTGTAGAATCGAAGACGGATGTTGCAGATGAAGTCCGAAGGCATTCTGCTGGAGAATTCTCTTGCTCAGGGGAGGCTGGTCTTTTTGTTCTATTCGGGCTTCAACCGATTAGAGGAGCCCCCCCCCAATTATGAAGAGCAATTTGCTTTACTCAGAATCCATTAATTTAGATGTAAATCTCATTCAGAAACACCCTCACTAAAACACGCAGAATAACGTTTGACCAAATAGCTGGGCACCCTGTGGCCCAGTCAAGTTGTTACATAAAATTAGCCATTATAGATACATAGCTATCAAGGTCACTTCTTCCTGAAGCTCACAGTCGAGGCAGTGACCCAAATGATAAACAAGTGTTTCAGTTGTCTAGCACTGGGTAACAGACCGTTCCAAACTTTGTGGCACAGAAGAACAACCATTTTATTATGTGCATGTGTTTTTCTAGATCCAAAATTCACACAGGGCACAGAGGGGATGGCTTGTCTCTACTGTGCAGAGTCGGAGACCTCAGTTGATAACACTCAAACTACTAGGAGTTATTTAAATGGTTGGAGGCTGGAATCATCTGGAGGCTTCTTCAATCGTGCGTCTGGAACCTGAACTTTGATGTCTTGAGCTGGGCTCATCTGGAACTGTCACCCAGAGCATACACATGAAACCTTCCATATGACTTGGGCTTCTCTTGACATCACAGCTGGCTTCCAAAAGGGAACACCCTAGATGGAATGTCTGGAGAGTGAGTATTCCAAGACATCAGGCAGAAGCGGCAAGGCTTCTTGCAACCTAGCCCTGAAAGTCATGCAGTGTCACCTCCACCATGTTCTATTGGTCACAGGTGATCACCAAGGACAGGCCAAACTCAAAGGAGGGGAATTAGGTACCACCTCTTGATGGGGGAGTGACAAGGTCACATTGCAGAAGACCATTTTGGGTGAGAGATAAAGATAGATATAGAACATATGGAATATATAACTTTATATATTATATAATTTATTTGCTGCAACAAGTAAGCAAAAATCCTATATCATTAATTCAAGTAGAGCTAAACAGTAGTGGTACCGAAAATATTTAGATTGCAAATGGATGCAAGGAATCTTTTGGGGTGATGCACACATTCTAAAACTGAATTGTGATGACGGGTGCATGGTTCTGTAAATTCATTAAAAATCATTGAATGTATACTTACAGGAATCGGACACCTGTTATATATACCGTTGGCATGCCACCAGCATTGAAGAAGCAGAATAGCCACGGGTGCTGACCCTAGTGCTAGAACAGAGTTCTAGAGATCCCCTTCAGGTACAGGGTAGTGGAAAGGTCTCAGGTATCTAGGAACAGGGGTGACCAAGATAACTGGGGGACACTCAGGGTTGCAGGGCAGTGACTATTTACAAACTTGGATGGAAGTATTGTAGTATTTTAACAACCAACATCGAGTGCTTTGAGAAGCATAAGGCAGAGTAAAGGAACTGGAAGGAAAGGCCAGGGACGGAGGAGAAGCACTTTAAGACGGTAGCAAGGGAAGCTCCTTCTGAGCAGGTGACCTTTGAACAAAACACCTGAGTGAAGTGAAAGAGGAAACCCCATGAGATCTAGAGGGAGAGAAAGTGGGGGAAAAGGAAAAGCGATTAAAAGGCCCTGAGGCAAAAATGAGCCACGTTCCAGGAGGAGCAAGGAGGACAGCAAAGCCAGGTTGAAGAGAGTGAGGAGACTGCCAAATGTCCATGCCCTGTAATCTAGGAGATACCCTACCCCTGCTTCAGTAACACAGCAGCTGCAGGTACTCGTACAAAGAGAGATAAAGTCCACAGCACCCATGAACTTGATCCTTGGCATGCCCTTCCTATGACCGGATGCAGCCTGGGACTTAGCTGCACTATGGATTACAGTGGATGTGGGCGCACGTATGGCCCTCATGATAGAAGTTCTGAAAGAATGGAGCTTTCCTGGGTGACGTACGACAGTGTGAGTCCTAGGGAGCCTCAGTGCAGGACAAGGATTTCCCACCGCTGCAGGGAACTCTTGATTCTCCACCTTCCCTGATGGGTTTTGGGAAGTGCGCTGCTATACTACTTCTGCAGAACTTGCAAACACTGGTGGATGACATGAGGGAATTAAACCACATCACCGGCTTAGCAAAAGGAACCGACATTTCACATTAGATAAAGAAGGCAGAGAACGGAATTCAAGATTGACTACTGAAAATGAAAAATGGGAAAGCAACAGAGAAAAGGGGAAGTAAAAAAGAGGGAAGCAGAAGGGTCGGGAAGGCTGGAGTAAATTTTACACCCTGAGTTGGTGAGTTATAGCCATACCCAGACAGCCTATTCAACAAAGAAGCTAGGACTGCTTAGAGGGGTGAGAAGAAAATAAAATAAGGTCTCAACTAATTCAAGATGACACAATTGCCTCAGCCTTTGATACTGGATTAAATGATCACATAATTGTGACAGAGAACACAGAGGTGGTAGCTTCAAGCAAAACTAAACTGGCATATTTTTAAAAGCAATATGGCAGCTCTGAACCTGCCACAGAATTAAAAGGAGAGATGGAAGTCTTCCTGTTGGAGAGCTGGCCTCCAGCTGAAAAACATGGTCAGTTCTTTCTTTTCTTTCTCTGCTGTCTCTGTGCTCTAATTAAATATGAAATGGTGATTTTTTTTTTTTTTTAATGAGACGGAAGAGCAGACAGTGGGAAACAGAGTAAGGCTCTCTCAACCCCAAGCTATGGTTAACTCAGTGAGCCCATTCTTCTAATAAAGAGATTCAAAACTAGATACAATAGGTCTCCCCAGATTCTCTTCATGAGACAATTGATGGTTTGGATGTGATAGTCATTCCAATAAAGGCCCAAGATTTCTTGACAAATAAAAATTTTTCCAATGAAGCATAAGATGTTCCAGAATTGTTAAAACAGCTTGATTGTTTGTATCCATTTCTACGTTCAAAACCTGTATGGAAAGAATTCAGTGCTAGGAACCAGTACGAAATTTGTTTGGAAGCAAAAGTTGCAGTTTCTTTAATAATATATATGTATATGTATATATGTGTGTGTGTGTGCACGTGCGTATATATAATATCCAAACAATCTAATGTAAAATATATCACCAAATATTTTTATGAATACCCAGCATTTTGTTGAAACTGTCTTTTAATGCTGCAGCAACTGGTACCACTCCAGTACTGAATGTGTATTAGTGGAGCAAGGAGGGCAGTAGGGAAGGGAGGGAACCTAGGGGAAATGGGGTAAATGACAGAAAGAATGACCTCAGAGGAGAGGGAGAGCAAAATGTGGGAGGGAGACCTCACAGACGGGAAAGCAAAATGAGAAAAGGAGAAGGGCAGGAAGACTGAAAATGGGAAGAGGGTGATCTTAGTAAGTTTTGCATCTTTCCCAAAAAAAAGGGGGAGGAGAGGTTAAGTAAAAGAAAAACCAGAATTTGCTAAAATGGGAACAAAATAGATACTGAAACACTGAACAAAACGCTCTAGAAGGAGAACAGGAAATCTCCGCCCAGCTGCTCCTATCTCTGCCGCGGGTACACTCAGCCCCCCCGCCCAGGCCGGGGCTGGCATCTGTTTGCAAGTGGACCCTGTGCTCCTCTCCTACAAGCTGTAGCAGAAAGAGTTTTAAATGTTCCTGTACAATCAGTTACTGGCTTGTTATCAGGGCTCAGTCTCCCCCAGGCTGTCTGTAGACAGCAGGAATTTCTCACCGGCAATCAGAGTAACGCAGGGTCTCACAAGCCCCTGACCAACAGAGATGCTAGGGAAGAACCTTAAGGAAAGGTGAAACGGTGCCCGCAACAGGTGCTCTCCTTTAGGAACAGCTCCGTGGCCTCCGTATCCCACAAGGCGGTCTCCTCAGACCTCAAAGGGCACGGGAGTCACCTTGGCGGTCTTGTCTGAATTCGGGTGTCGGTCAGACGGGCTGGGACAGAAACTGTGCATTGTAACAAGCCCCTGGTCATGCCAGGGCTGCTGGTGTTCAGTTCCAGAGCACACCCCCGTGACCCCTGAGTGAGTCAGGATGTGTGTGTGTGTGTGTGTGTGTGTGTGTGAGAGAGAGAGAGAGAGAGAGAGAGAGAGAGAAGGGAAAGAATCCAGAAGCACATTTTCTCCTGCAGGTACACAGAGAGAAAAGGCGGGCAGCCGCACAGGTTCTTAGTCCATTTATTGCTGCCCTTTGCCGGACTCCCCAGCATTCAGAGTGACCGCAGATTCCCGTGGGCACTCGCAGGCGGGTGGGCTTCTCCCCTGAGCCGGCCCCGAAGCAAAGCCCGCGGTGAGTCCGCAGGGAAGGACACCGAGCTCAAGGACTCTGGGCACCAAGGCTGGCCTCTCCGACTTTTCCTGCCTTCTCACCCCATCCTCCCCCCTCGGAGAAAGCAGTAACTGTCTCTGAATCATGCCGATCTGAACGCCACAGGCATGGTGGAAAGCTTGGGTAATCGAGGCAGAAATATTGAGAGGGTGCGAAAAACCAGACTTCGGTATCGAGGCTAGGGGTTTGACTGATTTCTCCACCCACCGTAAAGATGATCCTGATACAGAAGCTTCCTCGGAGCCCCTTGCGTTTGTGTGGGAGACAGAAGGTGGGGGTGCTCGTACCCTCTGCTCCAAGTTGAATTAGCCCCTCGGAGGAACTCTGGATGGCCTCGTGGGAAGAGTTCGAATGGATAGTCCAGTCCTGGCTGGTGCGACTTCATCTTTATTTCCTTTGACAGAAACTGCGCGTGGCATGAGGCAGTGTGGGTGTCCTCAGAGGTAGCTACCTAAGTTTGCATACTTCCTGGCTGACAGAGCACTCCTGCCCGTGCCTTGGGGCCAGGGTGGTGAGGGGCAGTGGGAGGAGTAACCAAGTTTCACTTCCTTGCTGCTTGGAGACTCACAGCCACAGCGGGTTTCTCTCTCAGAGGAGAAGAGAGTGAGGAGCAGGAGGGCCCATCTCTCTCTCTCTCTCTCTCTCTCTCTCTCTCTCTCTCTCTCTCTCCCTCTCTCACACGCGCGCTCTCTCTCTCTCGCTGCCTCTTCCCGTCGTAGCACCTGGCAGGGGCTCAGCGGTCGTGAGGCGCGCGAATGGGCAGAGCAGAATCCCTAGAAGGGAAGATGAGCGCCCAGGATCCTTCAGATCTGTGGAGCAGATCAGATGGAGAAGCTGAGCTGCTCCAGGACTTGGGGTAAGAAAGCAGGTCTTCTTTTCACAGTACTGCTCTGGTGAGCGTTGACTCCCAACCGCCACCCAGATGCTCGCTTTGGTTGATTTTCTTTAGCACCCTGCCATCTCGGGCTTCGCTGCCTTCCACTTCACTCATCTGTGAAGGCATCCTCCTGCTTGGGGCCAATTGCATTTTAAAAGCATACAGTGTTTTCCCAGGTGTGAAAACATGTTAAGTGGAGAAAAGGGGACGAAAATCAAACGTTGGGCATTCTTTGGGACTAGGGACAGAATCGAGGTGTGTGAGTTGGTGTTGCTTGTTTTCCTGGATATGAATCTGGTTGATGAATAAAAGCGCTGTTCAAACACTTGAGGCTCTAAGCTATTGACAGTAAGAGGGCTGTCTTGCCAGTAAGATAAGCAGAAAGCCTAGCCTGCTGCATGGGAGAGGGACTTTCTCAAAACGAAAGAATGAGGAAGTGTCTGCACTGTCCCATCTGGGTTTCTCTCTCCTGACACCGCGTTTGCGAGCTCTTGTTTGTATACACATCGGTAGGCACCACTTGGAGCCTTTTAAATACTAAGGAGGCCGGAGGAGGATAACATTTCTGCCTCAAGCAGGTTTTAAGTTTAGGTAGGTGGAGTCATCGTAGTCCTGTCTTTAGGAAGGGACCAGATGAGACAACCCATCGGGGTATTTAATAAAAGAAGCAAGTATTACACAAGACAGGTGTAGGGGGTTTCCTAGAGAAACTGGACCTTTACCCTGAAGCACCAGAAATATCCTAACGAGGCTGGTTTTGACACCTGTGCTTCACAAGCGACAAGACCAGAGCCTCTTCATAAACAGGACTATCTCCACAGCAACCCACTGACCTAGAAACTGTGATCTCCATCTTACAAAGGAAGAAAATGGCACCAAAGGGGTTGAAAAACTTGCCCATGTCACACATCAACAAATGGCAAAGCTGGGATTTCAACCTGCAAAAGCCTATGTTCTTTGCCAGAGAAAAACTAAAACGGGGATGAAATCTCTGCATTAAGATGGCAGAGATTGTAGCTTTTGGTGTCGTATTACTGTAAAAGTTCTCAATAAAGTCCTGTCTTCAGATTTTAAAATGGAGGTCTCAGAATTGAACTCCACTTTCACAAGGTAAACCAGAAATAACAGCTAGAATTTTCTATAAAGTCAACTCCCCTTACTGGGAATTCAGAGTTCTAGGATACCACCGTTCTTCTAGGTTGAATCTCCAAAGAGAGAGGGTAAAATGCCCCTGAGCATCCAAATGGGTGTCACGGAGTCCAGGCTAGACCCTTGGGCTCTCACTTATAGCCTTGTTAAATTATTAAGGTATAATTCTTTACATGCTTCATTATCAATATTCCCAGCCCATGATCAGCAGGAAGCCCCAAAGGAGAAGAGAAACAAAGGAGGTATTCAATTCTGGTTCTTTAATTAAACCATCCTGAGCCCACAGGTAACGTTGTCACCTCCTTGGATGACAAGGATGAGCTAGATGATGTCTCTTCTCTCCACCATATGCCCGTAACAGGAAGCGACTATGGGTAAAACCCGCAAGGAAAACAGAATTGTGCCTTCCCTCTGTGGTCAAAGAATGGACGTCCAGTACAACCTAGAAACACCCAAAACAGGTGCATTTATGTCCAGACTTCTGTATTTCAGAAGGCTGGGAAATTTACTATACATTTGGGGATGGTTTCCATAATAACAGACAAGCTACAATGATCTGGAAAAATTGCTCTACGGTGCAGGTTCTCAACCTTAGCTGTGCACTAGTGTCACACAAGAGTTTTTAAAAATTCCTGTCCAGGCCACATGCCAGACAAATGACATTAGTATCTTGGGAGTGAGCGTTTTCTTGTTACACTCCCCAAGTGATTCTGGGGAGAGACCAAGGTTGGGAGTCACTGCATAGAATATAAATCCATCAGAAGTGCTGAAAAAAATGTGGCTTTATTTTTCATTTATTGGGTATGTCCCTGAATCTTAAAGCCATTAATAAATGTTGACATTTTGTTTGTTGGTTTGGAAGCAGTTTACTTAACAATTTTATTGAGGTGTACTTTACAGATAAAACTCACTCATTTCAAGTGTACAAATCCACAATTTCTAGTGACTTTAAAGAGTGGTTCAAACGTCACTGTAAATCAATTTTAGAACATTTTCATCCCCCCGATAAGAGCTTTCAGTTCAGCATAGTTGTTTTAAGTATACTCAATGGGGTGCTGAGAAACCACTTGGACGAGTGGTGATTTCTAGAGTCTGCTTATTTCCTTGGTATAAATACTGATACCATGGGCAATTTCAAGCTGCGGAAGGTTTAACAACCTACCTGTAAAATTCCTGAAAATTTAGTAATGGACTTGAGCAAGTATTACTTGCCCCACCGGGACATTGCTGACATACCTTTTGCAGGTGATAATATCTGAGAATACTTGAAAATGACTGGTTGCCCCTGGCAGAATTCTGAACATAAATGAAACTTTTTCTTTGAAAATTTGTCACTGGTTAGGTGCAATCTGTACCAAACCTTCAGCTTAATTCAGTTTTTAAAAAGCGCCATAAAAACAAAATGATTTCATGTAATTGATAAATAATAGGTGGCTGGTTTTAATGACTTAATTTTAAAATTATTTTAAATATATTACTTGAGTTGTTAGGTAGATTCCGATGTTTGTATTTTGGGTGGATATAAACAGATAATGTGGTGGTTAGAGAGATATCATACATCCTTGTTCTTTGGTCTCTATTTTTATTCTGGCTTGGGAATATGTAAGGTTTTGAAAATTAAACCCTGAGCTGTAGCAAATTAATTCATCACTTGCCTTTCTAGGACACACATGGCTTACTCAGAGCATCAGTTTATTCTTTTCTAAAGTACCTAAGTCAAACAACTCAGATGCATTTCTGAGTCTCATTTATAAACCCTCAATCTAAAAACACTTATTTTCTGGGGTGCCTGGGTGGCTCAGTAGGTTAAACGTCTGGCTTTGGCTCAGGTCATGATCCCAGGGTCCTGGGATCAAGCTCCACCTTGGGCTCCCTGCTCAGCAGGGAGTCCGCTTCTCTCTCCCCCGGTGGGGGGGGGGGGGATGCACGAGCACTCTCTCTCTCTCTCTCTCTCAAATAAATAAATAAAATCTTTTTTAAAAATTAAAAAAATAAAAACATTTATTTTCTTTGATCCTAAATGTATTAATGTGTCCAAAGCAAAGGAGAAATAAAACCATCTGTGATTGTTGCTCAGCTTCACCAAAACTTTGGTGGGATGGGACTGGGGGAGGAGGTGGACTGTGGGGAAGAACGCAGGGGCAAAGCGTGCGGGGACTGGTCAGTGATAAGGAAGAGGTGGGCTGGGGACAGTCAGGTTGTTTTTTGCTTTCAAAATGAAGCAATGGGGAAATGAAACAAGTAGTGAATGCTAGACAGGTCCCCTAAATAAAAAAACTAGTTCTAAAACTGCTAGTTAGTTGATAATTTAAACTTCCAGCTGTTCTTTGATTATAACAAAGGTTCCAACAAGACAGTGTAATAACTAACTAACTAACTAACTAACTAACTAACTAACTAAAGTCTCTAATTCCTCTATCCTGTACATATAAGAGAAGGTTAGAATAGATCAGCGGTCAGCAAGTTTTTTTTGTAAAATACCAGATAATAAATTTTCCAGCTTTGCAGGCTTTATGATTTCGGCCACAAGTACTCACATCTGCCACTGACATGCAAAAACAGCCATAGATAACACAGAAATAAATGACCATGACAGTGGGTTCAGACAAAATGTTATTTGTGGACACTGAAATTTGAATTTCATATTATTTTCATGAGTGACAAAATATTCTATTTTTTTCCATAGCCATTTAAAAATGTAAAACCATTCTTGTTTCTTAGTCTATACAAAAACTTGTACCCTGGCAGGAAATACAAAGACTTGTACCCTGGCAGGAGTTGGCCCTAAAGGTGGTGGTTTGCTGACTCAGGGAACAGATGATCATAACCAAAATGAGTCCTCATTATGAAGCAGGCAGACATTTTGCATACACTAGCTCCGGTCTTCAGAAGGTACTGGCATTCCAACTTCATATACAAGGAGACTCACTAGCAGAAAAATCAGGTTGCCTGTAGTCCCAGGGTATCTGTTGTGATAATTCACTATTTACTGACCACATACTATGTGCTAGCACCATGCCATTTACGCCCATTATGTCACTAAGCTTTCCCAGTACTTTCAGTGTGGTATGATTACACCCATTTCATAGAGACAGAGAGTGAGCTCAGAGAGGTTCGGTGAACCGTGCAGCTCACTCATAGTGGTGCAGCTGAGGGACACACCTGCGAGCCTACCCCAAAGCTGATGCTCTTACACTGATCGGAGAAGCTATATGCTCTAATAATGGCAACTAGTAATTATTGGATGTCACTATGTGCCAGGCACTATTTTAAGCCCTTTGCGTGTATCATTTATTAAGTTCACATGTCACTGTGAGATAGATACTATTACTGAATCATCTCCATTTATAAATGAGAAAAGTGGGTGCCTGGGTGGCTCAGTTGGTTAAGTGTCTGCCTTCGGCTCAGGTCATGATCCCAGGATCCTGGGATGGAGTCCCACATCAGACTTCTTGATAAGCGGGGAGCCTGCTTTTCCCTCTCCCTCTGCCTGCCGCTCCCCCTGCTGTGCTCTCTCTCTCTGGGGCCCACATGCCTATCCACTAATGCAACTTGCTAATTCTCATCACACTTGTCTCTTATTATATTAGCACTATTTGTTAGTACTAGTATGAACTTAGAGACAAAAAGAAAGTTTTGTGATTACTACAACCAAGAAATGTTATCATAAAGACATTATTCTTTCATGTTCTTCACATAATATGCATGCTCATGCACACAAAGCCAGGCCAATACCCTAATTAAGCAAAACTTTATTGAATTTTTTGTAGATTCCATTTTTCAGAGCTAGACAAACAGAATAGGCTAAGAAAAGTGTAGTAAGGTCAAAG